CAGAGGCGGGAGGCCGGCTGGTGCAGCGGAGTTTAATGGCAGCGCGTGGACACCGAGCCCATGCACACGTAGACTTGCTCGTGGAGCCGGCCGGGCCCCGCCGCGCCGTGCTCGCTCGCGCGGCGCCTTAAATAGACTCTTCACTCTCTTCTGTATGTTACAGTATGTACAGGCCCCTTCCCCGGGCGCGCGGGGGCACCGGGCGACCCCGCCGCGCGCCCCCCGCGGCCCGGGCCCCGCGGCAGCCGAGGGAGCGGACGCGCCGACGCGCGGGGTCGGGCGGGGCGCGCGGCGGGGGAGGGGCCGAGGCGGGCACATTCAGAGACGCGTCCAACGAATAAATAAGGCAAGTCGGGAAGGGCCGAGGCGGGCACAGGCGGAGGGGGACCGCGGAGAAGGGGCAGGCGGGGCTCCGGACGTCACGGCGGGAGATGCAGGGAGGCGGGGGCTGCGGGGCGGGGGACGCGGAAGCGGGGTCGCGACCCATGGGGGAGACCTAGGGAGGGGGACAGCTGCCGACAGGGGCTCCCCTCCCCGGGAGTGGCCTCTCCCTGTTGAGACTGCCAGAAGCGGCCCCCAGAGCGCTGGGGAAGGCAGGGCGCAGTCAGGTGGCCAGTCCGGGCTGGGGGAGCCCTTCCAGCTCCTGGTTCTGCTTCAGTTCCCTCATCCTGCAGAGACAAGGGGAAGGAGTCAGGAGAGCAGCGGGGGGTGGGGGGCGCGGGGAGGCTGGCGCGGGCGCGTACAGGTGCCCCAGGGACCCCGCCAGAAAAGGGAGCACCTGTGTCGGCAGCGCCGCAGGAATCTCATGATCTTCCGGGCTGCCTGGTCCTGCTTCTTGGTGAGGAAGGAGCCTCTGGTGGCAGAAGAAAGGATGAGGCGCCATGGCACACCAGCACCCTCGCCCTCAGCTCTGGGACCCAGGAGGGAGACGCAGGGGCCGGATGCTGGGCTCAGCACCCCCAGGGGCCCAGCAGGGAGGGGCAGGGGCGGGATGCTGGGCTGGAGTGGGCGCAGGGCAGCGGCCCTGGGCGTGCAGGGCTGTGGGCAGCCGTACTTGCTGCGGGCTGGCAGGCTGCCCGGGGGCCGGTGGGGAGGCCCGGGCCGACGGCGGTAGGAGCGGTAATGCTGCTGGATGAGCACAGCCGCCCGGCGGCTCTGCTGGAAGCGCTTCTGTTCGTAGTAGCTTCGGAACTTGCTCTGGATCAGGATGGCCGCCTGGGTCATCTTCTTATAGAGTGCAAACTGCAGACACGGAGGGGCAGGGGCTGAACTGCAGGAACAGAGCCCCGAACCCCTGCGGGTCACCCCCAGGTTCAGCTGCTGTAAGCCTCTAGTCCACACGCTCGTGGGAAGCTGAATCATCATGGACAACCTCACACCCAGACCTCAGGCCTAATACCTTAAGCGCAATCCAGGTCAGCTTGTGGAGAGAGAAGGGGAGTTAGGGCTTCGGCAGGGACCCGCGGTGGGGGTGGGGGGTGGGGGTGCATGTGCACTGGGTGCCTGCGGGAGCGCCGTCTGGAGACCCAGCTCTCACCTGCTTGTACTTCCGGTAGCAGCGCTGGATCACAGCCGCCGCCACCTCCTGCTGCTCCTTCAGCCTCCGGCCCTGGGGCGAGACAAGGGAGTCAGCACCGGGAGCCCCCAGTGCTCACCTGACCTGTCTTGCCACTGGCCAGGAGCCCAGTCTCCCCCCGACTCGGACTGCTGTCATGCACACCCTGGGACCCCCGGCCCTCTGACCTTGTACTTTCGGAACGCCGTCTGGATGACGCGTGCGGCCTCGTACAGTTCCCGCTGCTCGTGATCCGACAGCGTCAGCAGGGCGAAATCACTCTCCATCTTGCCGCTGGCCGAGGCAGACAGGAACTCTGCCCAGGAGGGGGCTGGGGGGACAGCCGGGCGCCCACGCTCAAAGGGCAGTTCGCTGTAGGGGAACGGGGAGGGAAGTTACGGGGAGGGAACCACTGCGAAGGCAGAGCTTGGGCAACGGCGTGGAGAGGGACTTGGGAGCTCCCCAGTCGGTTTGGTCTCTCCTCAAAGGCCCTGGCGCCCAAGCTGTAGTGGATCTCTGGCTCCGGGAAAGGCTCCTTCCCTGCTCCCATCCGCCCTGGACACATCTAGATGCTGCTCTCTCCTGGGCTGGTCACCTGGGGGGGCCTGAGCTGGGGAAATGGTCCACGTTCTCCAGGTAGCTGGCCAGCCAGGACATGGTCTCGCTGAGCCCCAGGGCCCCTGTCCGCTCCCTCGTGGGCGCTCCGGCCTCAGGCAGCCCCACGAAGTCCTCTCGCTTTATCCGCTCTGGCGTGGCTTCGATGATCTGCTTGGCCAGTGAGATCATGTCCACCTGCATGAGGGAGAAGCTGCTGAGTCCCCAGCCTCCCCCACTGCCAGGTGCTCCCGGCCAGCCACAGCTGTAGCCAATGTCCACCTCCTGTCACTCCCGTCGCCAGCAGAGCCTGAGCCTCGCAGGTGGCTGTCCCGGCTCCCCATTTCGCAGAATTTTGCATTTATACTCCCTGGGCTCCCGTGTGGGTGCATGGCGGCCCTCTGTGTGGAGACGTCGTGGAAAACAGGACAGGAAGGCCCTGCTCTAGACAGGGATGCAGGAACTGAGCAGACGGAGCCCCTGGCCTTCCAGGCTGACTACCCACTGCCCCCTGCTCCTGGGCAGCCCCCCAGCACGCCATCCCCACGGGCTTGGCCAGGCCCACAACCCCAGGCCTTGGAGGCCCCCTCCATGGCCCCGTGCACTGCTCTGGCCGCACGCAGCGCGGTTCTCTGTGCTGTTGTTGAAGCTGTCGGGGACTTTGGCAGCCTCTCTGGGGCAGGCACATCCCGGGTTTGAGCAGCCCAGGTGCCGCCAGCCCCCAGGATCCTCCTGTCAACCCGAGCCTCCCTCCCTGCTCCTCTCTCCGTCGTGCTGCCCAGCATCCCCGAGGACCCCATGTCTTCACGAGGGGCGGCTCCCCAGGATTTTTAACCTCTGATGCCTTGTGACTTCGGAGTCACAAGCTCTGAGTGGTGCTAAGCAAAGGGTTCCTGTGCCCGTCCCCAAAACAAGGGCAGCCAGCCCCTTCTTCCCAGCTGAAGCCAGACACTGCTTCTGCTCTGCGGGATACTCGGTGTCTGCGCCGCACCCCCCCACCCCGCACCCCTCACAGCTCCGTCCATCCGCAGATGGCGGCGTACCGGGATCACATCCACGGCCGGCGGGCCGTCTGCTTCCTCAGGGGCAGCCCCAACTTCTGGGGCTGCTGGAAGAGGAGGCGGGGAGGGGGCTGGCCCGTGGGGGTTGATTTCACAGTCCATGAGGAACAGGGGGACCTCGGGGCCACCGGCAGAGAGCTGGCCAGGGACAGTCTCGGAGGCCGGCAGAGGACTACCATCCGGGGCGCTGGAGTAGGCAGATGTGATGGAGAAGGTGCCCTCCGACAGCTCCGAGGGCGAGGAGACGCTGCTCAGCCCTGTGAGGGGAGGGGGAAGCCAGGGTAGGGGGTGCCCGACCGTCCCCCTCCCACCCACAGCCTCCTCTTAGGAAGACCAGGGATGAGTCTCACCAGTGTCAGGACTGGAGGAGGGTGGTGACAGGGTGAGTGGGGGCTCCGCTGAAGCTTCCTGTCTCTGCAGTTCCTCGAGGCAGCGGGCAAGGCGCACGTGACCCCGGGAGTGTGCCACGGACAGGGGCAGCCGGCCCAGGGAGTCAGGAATGCTCAGCGCCTGCCGGTTCCAGCGGAAGAGGAGCACTGCGGCTTCCAGGTGGCCCAGGGCACAGGCCCACATCTGCAAGAGAGTGGGAGGCAGGAGGTGAGGCCTGGGGCCTCCCTGGCTGGGTCTCCCTTGCGAGACCCGTCCCCAGGCAGCGGCCCGTATGCACTCACCAGTGGGGTGCAGGAGAAGTGGTCCACGTTGAGCGGATCAGCCTCTTGCTCCAAGTCCAAACTCCCTGTCCCCACGCTCCTGGAGGATTTGGGACAGGGACACCGGAGCCCGGTCAGGGTAAGGGCAGGTGCTGTGGGAGCATGCTGTCCAGAAGCACCAAGATGGGCGGGGGGTGCTTGCAGAGACACAGGGCAGGAGGAGCCCCAACACTCAGCGTCCCAAGTCGTGGGGGGTGGGCGCAGTGTTGAAATTCCTGGAGTGCGAGCCCTTTCCCGGCCCTTCTAACCACAGTGACCGAAGCTCCCTCCTGGCGGGGCTCCAGGTGGTCTGGGCCCTCCCTGGTCGCCTCCCCGGGGCCCTGCTCACCGCCACTGGCTCAGCGTCTCGATGAGGCGTGCGTAGCCCTGAGCAGCGGCCAGGTGTAGGAGGCTCATGCCTCGGAAGGGGTTCCCGTGGGCCAGGCGCTCAGGGCCCCTCTGGGTGGACCGCGGGATCATGCTCTCTACCAGGACAACCACCCGAGCCTCAAAGCCAGGCCCCTGGCCTTCATCCTGTGGAGAAGACCCCTTTAGGCAGAGACTTGAGTATCTGGCCCCTGGCTCGGCATGGCCTCGGCCGCCCCCACCTGTCCTCTCCCCTCCCCATCCAGGCTCCTGCCACCCAGGCCTCCCCCTGTGGCTCCTGACATCCCCCACTTCATGGCTCGCTTCCTCCAGCAGCTGTGGCAGCCAGACCTCACACGGCCTTGCCCGCGTGTGCCCTTCACGCCGGCTGCGGTCAGTGCCATGCCCGCAGACGGCCCAGCCACGTCCTCAGAGACCCGGGCCCACAGGCTCCCTGTCCCCTCCCCCACCCGCTTCAGATCAGAAATAGTCTGTCGTCTGCGGCCTGTCATGCCAACAGGACGCCCAGAATAGCTGCTCCTGCCACGGGGTGACGTCAGGGAGGAGGAGGCTGGGGGCAGGAGGGACAAGCGAGTCCCACAGCAGAGCCGTTTGCTCCAGTGGGACCCTCCTCGGCTTCCTGCCCAGACCTCCCTCCCCGCGGAGGTACCTGGATCGGAGGCGCGTCAGGACCGCGGCAGGGAGCCTGCCCAGCTGCTGCCATGTCCGCCATCCGCTTCTCCATCTGCTCCAGCCGCTCCAGAATGGACATTCGGAACTGGTTGTCTGAGGGGAAGAGGTACGGGAGGCTAAGAGGCGGGCGGGCGCGGGGGACACCCATGCCACCATGGCTAGACCCGGGAGGTGAAGACGAGGCACCAGGGTCTAATTCTTCTTCACCAGAACAACAGCCCCTGGGCCCCTCGCCCTGTGTACAGCCCAGCCAGGATGCAGGCCTAAAACAAGGACCTTTAGCGCTACCCGCCAACCAGGAACCGGAATCTGGAACCAAAACCCCGTTCTTCAAGACACAGACGGGGCAGGGGTTCCAGCGTGCGACCCCGAGCTGCCCCAGGTCACTCACGCGTGCACACGCTCACGCGCACACACACCCAGCCCTCCAGGTGAGCCCTCCATCAGCTCTCCCTGCCCCAGAGCAATCTCTGTCCCCCGCGCTGCGCTGAAGGACTCCGGGGCCCCTCCTATCTATCGTCCACTGCCCAAGTGAGCTCGGGGCTTGTGATTTAAGCACCACCCCTTCCTCCCGGCCCCTCACAGCTGTCCACAGAGAGCATGGTGGGGCTTGGAGGTGACAAAGATGGATCGCCATGTCCATTCCTCCTCTTTCTCCCCCACCCGGGGCACAAGAACGCACACACGCGTGCACACGCACGCACGCACACCCCAAGCCATATCTGTTCCCTCCTGAGATCATGTGAGGACAAGGAGGGGAGGTGGGAGGGGATCAGAGCCACAGGAAAACAGGCACCCAACGGGGTGGAGGTTGGAGATGTCCTGCTTGAGAAGCAGGACAGAAAAGGGCTCAGGCCTAGAGCTGATGGCGGGGAGGAGGGTGGACGGTGAGGTAAAGGGCAGAAGGGACAGGAGAGGAGGAAGATGTGGCAAAAGAGCACCAGGAAGGAGGGGGGCAGGTGAGGGCATGGGGCACAGGGAAGCGCGAGGAGGGAGGAGACCCCCCCCCAGGGGGAGACAGGGTGGTGGGGCAGCGCTTTGGCAGGGGCCCCCCAAGGCTGAGACAGCAGGGGGCAAGGGCCCCTGAGGCAAAGCAGTCCTGTGACAGAGGGAGGCGGCAGGCGAGTGCGGCAGGGGTGGCAGCGCAACTGAGAGAAACCCAGAGAAGGGGGACCCCCGGCTGGACGCAGGGGCCGCGGGGACACCGCGCTGAGAGCCACGGGAGGGAGAACCAGGACAGGAACACGCGGGTCTCTGTGTAAGTACGTGTGTGCACACGTGCGTGTTTCTACAGGAAAGCGTGTTAGAGCGTATTAAAGGTGAACATCGCAAGGCAGTGACGTGGTCAGTCTTCTGCTTCGTGCCTGTTACCCCAGATTTCTTGTTACCCCAGATTTCTTATTGCAAACACCTACCTCAAAGGCAGAGGCAGAAACAGAAAGGAAGTTGAAATCATGTGCCCCAGTACACGCGCAAGCTTGTGCACACGGACACCCACGCACACTGCTCTAGACCCCATCCCCGCTCCCACCTCCTGGCCTGGCTCCGTCCCATTTTTGGGGCAGAGAGGACGGGCCAAGAGCTGGGACAGAGATGGCTCCAGGATTCCCAGGGGAGGGCACGGGAGGGACACTGGCTGCCCCTTTAGAAGCATGAAGCAGGAGCTGGGAAAAGGCCGCTGGAGTCCTGGGGTGTCTAGGAGTGCGCCCCACTCCAGGTCTGGGCCCCACACGGGCTACTTACCGTCCAGTGACAACCAGTCAAGCTGCGTACTTGGCAGTGACGGGAACCGGCGGGCTCGATACTCAAATAGCACAGAGGTGGAAAGGGGCCCCTCCCGGCCTGCCACCTGCAGAGACACCAGCCCCACCTCATGGGCTGGGGGGGACAGGGTCAGGGACAGAGGCTCTCTCCCTGGTTACTTCTCTGGCCCCGCATGAGAGCCACACAGGACCGTTTCACAGTCGGCTCTGCTGCACCCTTGCTGGAGGCAGGGACACCCCTGGCTGACGTGGCCTTGGCGCCACCTGGGGCCGGATTCCCATCACTCAAGAACTTAACACCTGCTGCGGGCTGGGCCCGGGGTGCCTGGGATTGTAGACCCTGCAGCTAAGTCCGCGCCCAGGCCTTGGGGGGCTGAGGGTCCACAGATGCCCCAGCTTAGAAAGCAGTTGGCTCCCCCAAGGTCTGGGGCAGGGTCATGAGCCTGTTACCAAGATCAGGGAGAGCAAAGCAGCTGCTCACCAGCAGGGTCCAGTGAGAGCTGTGTCTGGGCTCTCCATGTCTATGGCCTTGACGAAACCACCAGGCCCTGGTCCCCAGACTGCAGGCTGAGAGGAGTCCCAGCACCCAGCCTCCCTGGTCTCCCTCTGCCTTTCATGCACCCCTGGACCAGGCTGTCACGATAGGGCACACTCCCAGACAGCCAATCTATACCCTGTCACTCTGGTGGTCCCTGCGGTCCCAGAGCAGCACTGACTGCTGGGTGCAGGTAAGGAGCAAAGCCGGGGGCAGAAGGGCAGAGGCGAGCCTTGGCAATGATCTCTAGACCATGCTGTCCAACAGAGCTTGCCTCCATGATGGGAACATTCTGGATTGGCACTGTCCAGCAGGGTAGCTTGAAGCCACATGTGGCTACTGAACCTTCAATATGTGTTTGCTGGGGGCGCCTGGGTGGCTCAGTGGGTTGAAGCCTCTGCCTTCGGCTCAGGTCATGATCCCAGGGTCCTGGAATCGAGCCCCGCATCGGGCTCTCTACTCCGTGGGGAGCCTGCTTCCTCCTCTCTCTTTGCCTTGCCTCTCTGCCTACTTGTGATCTCTGTCTAATAAATAAATAAAATCTTTTAAAAAATCTTATTTAAAAAAATATGTGTTTGCTGTGTTGGAGGAGCTGAATCTCACGTTTTCATTCATTCTACTCAATTTCCATGGGCCCACGTGGCTAACCCTACCGTACTGGACAGTCCAGGTCTAGGAGACAACGTCCTTTAGTCCAAAACTGATCGAGGGAGACCAACGTGTCTCCCTTCTCATGCTCCAAGACCTCCCTGCACTGGAACTAGAAACCAACTCCAACCAGCCAGAGGGCCTGGAGGGACAGTGGAGGCCCGCTGGCTCAAATGGCTGACCTCCCGGGAGGGAGGCCCCGGACCTGAGAAAGGAGATTTCTCCAAGACTGACAGTCTGCTCAGGACTAGACTGCTTACGCCAGAGCCTAGACTTCTGACACACAGCCGATTCCTGTGCCTGTGGGGGAGCACGGGGCTCCCCTGCCCATGAGTCAGCCCCTCCCCCGGGCACTCCCCACCCCCATACCAGGACAGTAGCAGCGTAAGACCCCGGGCTGGACAAGCGAGGCCGGCACAGCAATGTGATCGAAGACACAGGAGTAGTGCTCGGCGGCCTCTGTCCAGGGGCCTGTGATGAGCACCTTGACGCCACCCTGCAGAGACAAAGCCCAGAGTCCTGTGACTGGAGCTCGGCTGGGCGTTCTTTTATCCTGACTTCAGACCCCGAGGGAGCATCTGTGATGCGGCAGGCCCTGTGCTAGATTCTGGGGTACAGGGATGGGGCAGGAACCAGAAGGGTGAGGTCAGCTAGCCTGGTCCCTCCTCCCAGCACTCCTGCTAGGAATAGGGAACTCACTGCTTCCCCCAAGGCTACCAGCTGATTGGAAGATAGCGGTCATGGGCCAAAGCCCTTGCCTTGGGATCCCACTGTCCTCCCACCAAGGCTCCTCTTCTCGCTCTCTGGGGCAGCAGAGAGCAGAACTTCACTGCAGGGGACAGACCTTCGGCTGCCCCAAGTCCACATCGAGGGCACCTGGGGGACTCACGGCCACACCCAGCATGTGGGGGGTGGGGCCGGGGAGGCGGGGAGAGGGTCCCTGGAGAGACAAGGGAAGCAGCTACACTCTGCTCTGTCTATAGAGACAGGTGGGATGAGAGCAAAGACGCCATGCAGACAGGGAAACGCAGGTGGCAGCACTGGTGAGCGGGATGGAGGACGGGCTGGGGCCCAAGGCTCACCTCCGGGTAGGACCACTCTGGGGAGAAGTCCGTGATGGTGTTAAGAGCAGGAGAGAGCTGGGTGGCTGGGGCAGGGGTGCCTGAAGCCTCGTCGCTGATGAGCTCCCCCATGAGGTCTGGGAATGATGCAAGACTGAACGGCTCCAGTTCGCTGGCCCCAGCAGCTCCTCCAAACAAGGCCTCCCCTCTACCTCCCCTGCTTGCCGGCTCCAGGGGAGCGGGTGAAGGAGGGGGTGAAGGAGGGGGTGAAGGTGCAGGTGGGGTGGCCCCCTGGGCCTTGAGCTCCTCCCCACTGCCATCATCTTGAATGAAAAAGCGGTTTCCTCTTCTCCCACCTGCTCCTGGCGGAGGAGGGGGACCCCGAGCAGCTGCCTGGGGCTCCAGGGCAGCAGCGGGCTCTAGGGCAGGGCAGGGGGTGTGGGCGGCCTCTGCCTCTGGGAAGTCTGGGCTTACCCCCTGCCCCCCTCCGTACGTCTGGCCCCTCTGGGGGCTGTTGAGAAAACGATCCGGGTCAAAGGCAGGGCTGGGAGGAGCTGGCGGGGCAGAGGCCTCCGAGCCTACAACCACAGCCAAGCTCATGGGAGGCCTAGGATCCGCCTGGGGAGCCAAGTGCCTGGCGGGCGTCAAGCCCCCGGTCCGCTGCTCCAGTCCCGTCAGGAGGAGGATGGCGGTGCCTCCTCTCGATGAACCCCCTCGAGAGGTGGGAGGGCTAGGTCTGATCTCTAGAGGTTCTGCAAAGCCAGAGGAGGAGGAGGAGGAGGAAGAGGAAGAGGAAGGGGAAGTATGTGCCTTGGGGAGCTCCGGAGGAAGAGGGGCTATCAGCGGAGGGGGCTCAGGGGGATGGGGGACCGAGGTCAGGGTTAACGCTCGGGGCTCCACTTTCGGAGAAATGATGCGGTGTTTCGTGCTGCTGCATTTGTGGGTCAGGCTTCCGGAACCTGCAGTGGAAAGGGGCGGGAGGACCATGGTTCTCTACCGCCCGACCATCCCTTCCCAGCAGCCTCCACCCAGCGTCTGGGCACTGGGTCCTGCATGGGAGGTGTACTACCGGCTGTGGCCACTGGGAGGCAGGAGCGGTTGTGTTGTCTGCCCCCTGCCCCCACCTCCCGGGGCCCAGTTAAACAGGAGGGCAGGGGCTCTGGGGGGAGAAGTTAGAGAACCAGGTAAAGGCGTGAGGGACACAAGCACACGGCAAACGGAGTACCAGCGAGAGATAAAGCTAAGTCTGGGCGTCAACGCTCAGACTGTTGTAGCCGGGAGCTGCAAAGGGCAGCAGGCAGATGGCGTCCGGGTTAGGTCTGTGCGCCCAGACTGGAAGGCCTCTGTGCACCCGCCCCTCGGTCTCGGATATGCAAAAGACACGCAAACCAGCATGCAAATCCTGGCAGGACTGAGGTGCCGGAAGCGCCCTGCAGCCAGGCGGGAGCACAGTCCCAGGGTTAGGGGTCACTCACCGAGGCCCCCGCTGCACAGGCAGGCATGGGTCCGCGGTGCAGGCTTGGTGGGGTGCGTGTCCAGGATCTGCTGCACCAGCTGCTCCACAGAGAACTCCTCCGTCCCGTTCCCACAGCTCCACTTGATGCCATGAACTGGAAGACCGTTGGCGGGGGGGGGGGTGTGCTGGGGGACCTGAGCACCAGGGACTTCCGGCCAGCAGCCACAGCTCACCAATGTCCTCCAGCCCTTCTCCGTGACTGCACGACCTCAGGACACTCCAGAAATCCTCATGTCCCCTCCAGGTAGCACCCCCGGCTCAAGGGAGCCGCTCACCCCACGCTGCTGGGTACAGAACCCTTCTGCCCCCAAGGGCCCGCCCCCCCCCACGCCCCCCGGGAGACCCTTACACATGGGCTTCAGCTGCCCCAGCAGCTCCTCCCGGGACCACTTCAGCCACTCTCGCCGGTCGCTGCTGATGGAACAGAAGATGGGGCTGCAGCCCTTCCCACAGTCCTCCAGGGCTGGGACGTTCAGGTAGTGCACAAGCACGATGTCAGGGTTCTGGAACACAGGGGCACACACAGGGAACGGTGGGGTTCCAGCTTTCTTCCCAGGCAGTTCCCCCCACCCCCCAGGCCCTGCGCCCTCCATCCTCCAGCACCCCCCCTCCATTTCCCGGGCTCCTCCTCCCACTCAGAACCCAGTGGCCCTCAGTCCATCTCCCAGCCCCCAGCCCCCCTCACCTGCAGCAGCCAGTAGCAGCGCCGATGGAATGTGGGGATGATGGAAGAGTGAACGTAGCAGCCATAGAGACACTGCCAGGAGACAGGCTGGGGTGGGGGGAGGGCCCGTCTGCTCCCCGACTCTTCCT